AAAAAATTAAAATTACTTAACTGAAAAAAAATTATGGCTTTTTTATTTTATTAACTTTTTCTTCTTCATGGGCAGCGTGCGCGATCGCGGCGATGTCTGCGCGACATCATTAATTTAGTATGTCTCACGATTAGTCATTATAAAATAATGATTTCCTTTGAAAATCGAATTTATAACATACCTAACGAAGGTACGGTGTCTAACATCTGTATTTAACATGGACAAGGACAGATAAAAATCCCTTCCAGCTGATCCTGACAGCAGACCAAAGGCATTATGCTCTGATATAATAATAATTAAAAAAAAAACACTTACGTTTCAAAACAAAAGATGGCGTTTCACATTTTAAATGTTTTTTCAGGACAAAAACCTGTTTGTTGTACGTTTTTTGATTTCAATTTACTTAATAAGGTCAACACTTAGTTGTGAAGTGGTTTTCAGCTTATACCCGTAGGTTTTAATTAAAAAATAATTATCGTACACATGTCCTTTGCTCGTGTGGGTTTGAATCCCTTTTTGTTGCTGCAATGAGTTTACTTATAACGAAATCCCATTACGTTTAATGTAGCAAAACAGTTTTTATACTTTCATGTGCTTGTGTAGCTTAGTCAGAGTTTATTGAAAAGTTACGGAAAAGTCATTAATATTAAAGGATTATTGTGACTTATTTGCGAAAAGCGATTGCTTTTTAAAAATCTTTCATTTAAAAGATCCATAGGTACCTATCGTGGGTGCTTTTGCATGGAAATTTCACATGTTAATATTTGTTCGTATAATCGTTAATAATAGTGCCGTGGTGGCCCGGAGGATTAAGACGCCCGCTTCTCATTCGAAACCTACCAACGGCAAATACCAACGTGACATTTTCCGAGTTACATGTACTTTCTAAGATTATCTAGACACCACTGACAAACGGTGAAGGAAAACATCGTGAGGAAACCTGGGCTTACAATTTCTAATTATAAGTTTGGAAATCGCCAACCCGCATCTCAAACCTTCTCCGTGTGAGAAGAGGCTTTTCTCAGCAGTGGGCATTTATAGGCTGTTGATGTGATGTGAATATTTGTTCGTAAAAACGAACAAATAATTTCATATTCACACCTGAAACAAGCATTTGAACATCACACCAATAATTATTCCGTGCCGGAATCGAATCCACGACATGTTGCGTAGTATACAGTCGTCAAGCTACTATGCACTATGTATGTGCAATTAAAACATTAGCTTAAATATCGAACTTGAAACCTTATGTTCTCAATCAATCACTTACAACTATAAGACAAATAAATATAATTTAATTAATCTAGACTATACTAAGAGACCTCTATAAATAAAATTAAAAGCAAAAGTGATCAGACAAGGAAGGAGGACTCGATCCCTCTTGTATAAATGAGGGACGCATTTACTTGAATTATACACGCTTAGGAACATAATAGAAAAGACAGAAGTTTCATTACAAGTTAGAGAGAAATAAATTAAATTCTCACACATCACATCAACAGCCTATAAATGCCCACTGCTGAGCAAAGCCTCTTCTCACACGGAGAAGGTTGAGCATTAATCACCACGCTTGCTCAATGCGGGTTGGCGATTTCAAACTTATAATTAGAAATTATAAGTTCAGGTTTCCTCACGATTTTTTCCTTCACCGTTTGTCAGTGGTGTCTAAATAATATTAGAAAGTACATATAACTCGGAAAAAGTCACATTGGTACTTGCCGTTGGTAGGTTTCGAACCCGCACCCTCATGCGTGAGAAGTGGGCGTCTTAAACCTCCGGGCCACCACGACACTTAAATTCTAATTAATTTATTTAATTCGAAATTAAATTCTCTACGCATTATTAATTATTATGTTTTTCGACTTACTCATATAATTATTTGACGAGGAACTCGATCAGTTTTTAGCCATGCAAGCTGTGTTTCAGTAGCCGCGTCGTGGAATGCTCCTCATGAATATAAGCCACTAGCATGGCTTGAAACTAGTCGAGTACCTCGACAAATACGTGATTATTACGTGAGCATGCCGAAGAACATGATCATGAAGATAATTAATTAAGTATGTTTCACGAAAGCTATTTTATATATAACTAGCTACTTCCGCGCGGTTTCACACGCTCTGGTCAGCTCTTATTGGTCGTAGCGTGATGTTTTATATAGCTATCCTCGATAAATGCGCTATCCAACACTAAAAGAATTATTCAAATCACACTTGTAGTTACGGAGATTAGCGTGTACAAACAAACAAAAACTAAGTCTTCCGCTTTATCTATTAGTATAAGATTAATAAACGTATATTATTATATACAATAAAAAAATTATAAAATACTTGTTATCATTAATTAATACAGTTTATTTGTGGTGTACTTTTATAATTTTTATGGAATACGGGCGTAAATAAGCAACCTGATCACATGATGGTAAGCGATCGGCATCTCTCATGAATGAAGTCAACGCCAAACGCATCGCCGCGCCGGGTGAATTATTCCTCTGGTAACCTCATTAATACGGTGAAAAAAACACATAAGCGTTGTTTCACGTTGATTTTTTGTGAAGCCGTTCGTATCGAATTATGTAATGGGTCTTTCCAATAAAAAAGTTTTTCAATAAGTTGAACTTCTGACAACTGATACCATACGTCCCCATATTAGCAGCTTCCAATGTCTAGTCGCCACAGATAACTGGTTTATACAGTACTTTTTTATACTTTTGTTAATTTAAGTGAAACTTAGTGGGACTCGAGTTTATTTTCATTATTGGAAAAAGGAAAAAGTTCAATGGAAATCGGAAAAGAAAAGTACGGCAGTTTGAAAGAATAATGTTTTTTCTTTTTTTTTCGTATTGTGTTTTTTGTTTCAAAATTGTAAGTAGCGAATCGAGGAATTGCGGTACGGTAGAAATACTATAGGTACTTACGCCTAATTTTAATTATAGTCAAATTAATATAAATTCAAATTGAAAGACAAATCAGGTAATGATTTTGTACCTATGTCATAAAATAGCCTAACTACATGGTGGCCCGGAGGTATAAGACGTCCGCTTCTCAGTTTAAAACCTACCAACAGCAAGTCCCAATGAGACTCTTTCCAAATTATAAGTATGTACTTTCTAAGATTATTCAACTTTATTCAAAACACATTGTACTCTTTACTTTTACCCTAGCGGCTTCGCTCGCGTCACAAAAGGATAAAAAGTAGCCTATGTGACATAAACCAATAAACACAGCGCCATCTATACCAATAATTTCATTTTCCCTCGAGAATATCAATTTTTCCGGTATAAAAAGTACCATTTTATTTAATTCAGACTTCTAACTTCACGTTTGCAAAAAATCAAAGCAATCGGTTTAGTAGTTACGGCGTGAAAGTGGAACAAACAAACAAACTCACTTTCCGATTTATAATATTAGTAAGGATATTTGTAAAATCTATCTTTCAATACGAACGTACAAATGTACAGACATTGTGCGTACCATGTCTAAATCACTGACAAACGGTGGAGAAAAAACATCGTGAGGAAACCTGGGCTTATAATTTCTAATTAGGTATAGAGGTAAGTTTAAAATCGCCAACCCGCATTGAACAAGCGTGGTCATTAATGCTCAAACCTTCTCCGTGTGAGAAGAAGCCTTTGGTCAGCAGTTGGCATATATAGAATTATAATAATCAACATAACATAACATCACGCCTTTTATCCCCGAAGGGGTAGGTAGAGGTGCACATTTCCGCACTTAATGCCACTGTACAATGTAACACCCAATTTTTTACTATTTATATTATGAGTCCCATGTAATAGGGGATAGTATGTACATGGCAATAAGTTCAATATTGTCATGTACCGGGTACAATTCCAGACTCTGTACTACAACTGATAAACACAGTAATACTTTGCCCGACCCCAGTATCGAACACCCCTAGCCCAGCAGGCAGTTGAAATAATCTACCAAATATTACATCTTAGATTAAATAGGTATAATCCTTGTCTATCTACACTAATGTCCAGTTTAAGTTCGTCAGCCAGTCTTACATCCAGTAGATAGGCTTTTGCTTACGTCTTAGTTGTGATTAACATACATACCATAACATTACGCCCTTTATTTTCCGAAGGCGTAGACTTAGCACCCTATTTCCGGACGTTCCTAATGAAGCAGTTAGCTTAATTAAGAGGGAAATATGGTGTACTATACATGTAGTTGTGTTCCCCATATCCATTGATAGGGGTACATGATAAGGACATTTCCTTGATAAATTACTTATGTATCTTTCATGCAACTTAAAAACTATAGTCAATCAAGTTTTCCCTTGATTGTATCAGTAAAGAAGACCGATGGTCACGAGAAAAATTATTTCTTGAAAAGCGTCCATTTTAGTTTTTTTTAAATATCAACGTTGCCCCACTTTAGGATTTTCCCCCGTGTCGTAGGTGCGTTTACAGACATACAAATTCACACACATGACACCCAGACCCGAAACAAAAATTTGTTGGTCACACAAAGTGTTGTTCCGTGCGGGAATCGAACCCGCGGCACGCTACACGGAAGCCGGTGGCCCACCAACCGTGCAGTCAGTTATAATAGCTACCGTCTCTGTACTGAACCAATCGTTACTTTGTTTTCTTTATTTATAACAAACTAGCTACTTCTGAGCGGTTTCACTCGCTCTGCTCGGCGCCTATTAATCGTAGCGTGATGTTTTATAGCCTATAGCCTTCCTCGATAAATGGGCTATCCAACACAGAAAGTATTTTTCAAATCGGACCCGTAGTTTCGGAGATTAGCGCGTTCAAACAAACAAACAAACAACTTGCGCTTTATATAATAAAGTATAAGAAGTATAAGATAATGCAAATAAGCTATAAGCATTCTTACTCGTCAACCTTTGGTTGATGTCGAAATAGTGTTGTACATAAAGAACATATAGCATAAATTTGGTCTGTTTAAAAAAACAATAACAGACTAGCCAGATTGAATCAAAAACTAACAAATATATAATCTTGTTCCAGAATGCTGTACCCATCAATTCCTGTTTGCTTCCTCGTGATTGGAGTAGCACTATGTGCTCCAGAGAGGATGCAGAACGAGCCAGACCCTCACGACACTCCAGTCCATGAGGGCACTGAACCTCACAGTGACCATATTGTCCCTCTTGAGAAGAGATCCCCTCATTACGACTTCGGGTTGGGAAAGAGGGCTTACAGCTACGTGTCAGAATATAAGCGACTCCCTGTCTACAACTTTGGATTGGGCAAGAGGTATATAAGTTTTATTATGGGTTTTTGTGATAGGTATGTTTACAAACATACAACGTGACCTTCACAATCATACTCAGACCTGGCACAACAATTTGTACATCCCACAAAGAATAACACATTTTGCCGCAGTCGGTCACCCCGCTGTATAGTGACTCTGTAGTATTGTATCTGAGAGATGGAGTAGTTAGGAGCACAGGTTATTCTAGTTTGGGTTCCTGACTTCCATCATTGCATTGTCACTTAAATTACGCAAAACCATACGTAGAACCAGTCTCTCACAAACTTTGTCAATATTATAAAACTAGTATTAAAGTCTACATCACTATGTAATATGATGGAAAAATAAATAAAAAATATTATTATTTATTTATTATTATTGTTGTTGATGACATGGAAAACAATAGATATAGGTCTTATTTTCTTCATGGTGTTACTCTTTATTACACACATTTCACCAGATATGGTTATAGTTAGTTATAGTCACATCTAAACGAATATTTAGTTAAGTAATTGTCATAAATGTTCCGAAACCTAGCACCCTATTTTACAAGTACTATCCGAATCAGATGATCTTGTGCTGAAAATTTTGGAACAAACAATAATCCTACTAGACCACGCTCACATACATAATCATGTTTATCAACTGCACCTTTTTGTTCCTAGATCCAGGCCCTACTCCTTTGGTCTGGGCAAGCGCTCTGTCGATGAGGACCAGTCCAGTGAGAGCCAGCCTCTGACCAGCGACTTGGACCAAGCTGCCTTAGCTGAATTCTTCGATCAGTATGATGATGCCGGTAAGTTAAATTGAACAGCTTAAAATTAAACATAATAGTTATACGTTCATTACTGCCTCGTTGGCCGAGTGGTCGTAAGTGCTACTGCCGGGCAAGGGGTCTCGGGTTCGATTCCCGGGTCGGGCAAAGTATTACTGGGTTTTTAAATATTCTCAGTAGTAGCACGGAGTTTGGAATTGTGCCCGATATATGGCAATAGGCTCACCCCCTATTACATGGGACTCAACATAAATAGTGAAAAGTGGGTGTTACATTATACAGTGGTATAACGTGCACCTCTGCCTATCCCTTCGGGGATAAAAAGGCGTGATGTTATGTTATGTTATGTTTCCTCACAATTCCTCGAGGTTTCCTCCTTTACTGTTTTTCAGTGGTTTAAGTTTTAAGTTTAAGTTTGTAAAACTTTAAGTTTTAAAATCAGTCAATAAGATGAGTTTACATTTTCTTTATAACGTTCACAATAATCTGATATTTGAATTAAAGATTGTTTAACAAAAATACTACGTACAACGATTTTTCTGAAAACAATATACCTACCTACCCAAAAAGCCAGCAAGACAATTATGTAATAGTTACTTAACATTATTTATTCCGTAGTAACATGAAAATTCTATAGACTTCCAGAAAACATGTTCCTTACTGAATAAAGGTTAATTAGGTTCCCAATAATTATATTTAACACAATTATTATATACTTTAATCATTGTTTAAGATTGACTCTTTCTTGAAGATCTAAAGGCAAATACAAGGTCTCAGTTTTAATCACCTTGGTCGAACAAATAATAATAATTATTTTAAATTCACCATTCTCTGAGGATTTTGCTCATTTTTAATGGACTTTATTTATTAGTAAATTATATAATGAATGGATGAATGGAGTTTCTTGCTCGTTCTTCTCCATTTGAATCTACATTTTGGAATGAGCACCTAGCATCACCTAGCTTCACTGACAGAGTGACTACAGGCTATTATTTATTTTGTATTTGCTGACGTTTTAAAAGTACCAAATTATGGTTTAATTGAAGTAAACGCTTTGACTTTGACTTTAAATAAATTCTCATTTTGCACACAGGTTATGAAAAGCGCGCTCGGCCTTACAGCTTCGGCCTCGGCAAACGCTTCGCTGACGACGAAACTTCCGAAGAAAAGCGGGCAAGGGCATACGACTTTGGACTGGGCAAGCGGCTACCGATGTACAACTTTGGACTGGGCAAGCGAGCGAGGAACTACAACTTTGGTTTAGGCAAGCGATTGAGCAGCAAATTCAACTTTGGTTTAGGCAAAAGGGAGCGGGACATGCACCGCTTCAGTTTCGGTCTGGGCAAGCGATCGGCAGATGACGCTTCGGTCGAAGACAGCGACAATTATTTTGATGTTTAAATAATTTTGTTAATTTATGATTAAGAAGAGATAACCCTATTGGAAACTTGCGTGGGATTCAATCTTTTAACTACCTATTTGTTTATTCCTATCTTAAACATAGACTGTTGTTTTTATAGGCATTGTTATTTTTTTATATCAACACTACCTCAATGTTATTAAAGGTTTTCATGTGAAAAATCCAGCCAGTTTTCACATGGAAACCTGAATATATAATTCTGTTTTGTATTTTTTTTATTCTTTACATTTCCACGCAAGTTTCCATACCAAAACAGTTAATTAATAATTATAAGATTTTTGACTGCATAATTCACATAAATTAGGCATTTCGAATATTAAAAAAAATGTATTAGAAAGCGTGATTTGAAAAGAGAAATTCATGTTCTAATTTTTATTTGTGTTACAATATTATTTTTTTATTTCGTAACATTTATTTTATTGGTTATAAATAAACCGTGTTTATTTTGTAAATTATTGTTATAAATGAAATGTAGTTATTTATGAATGAAAAATATTAAAATCATTGTACATCATAGTCAATGTGGAGTTACGATCGCGAAGTATGTTATAGTGTAAGCTTAAACTCGCATTTATGTTGTTGAATAAATAATGAAGCTGAAAAAGTGTTTATTTTCCTATATATATAAAATAATATACCTATGAAAAAGTTAACATAATTATTTTTCAAGCTTAACTTTAAATAACGCCGTCATTTTCTGCTCAGATTTATTTCTCAAAACTTAGTGTATAATAATTAAAGAATTTTCATTATATTTTTTTATAAAATCTCCTAATTATATTACCAGTTTAAATTACTACAATTTAAATAATAACCTAACAGATATCCGTTGTTATTTTTATTCATAAAATTGTACTTCAAATTTATTTTATGAAATTAAACATTTTATTCATGCAATGAAATAAATTGTAAAATAAATTAATATTATTTATATTTGCATCGTAGCTCTACAGAATAGCGATTAAAGTAAAATTAAGTGATTAAACATAACTGTAAGACTTCGTAACGTTGTTTTGAATATAACCTTAAATGATTATACAATTAAAATTCTAATTATACAAATAATAGAGAAATTGCATCTGCGCTTGTTTATTTATTTTAACCTTTTCAATAACAATAGAGATGATAACGGGGTATGAAAAATAAAAATCTATTTGTTCCGTCAGTTAGGTAATGGAAAAATTAGACACGTATTTTTTTATAAGAAAACAATACTTAGATAAAACGTATCAATGTTTATGAATGAGAGCTAACTAAGTCAGTTCTACGCATAAAATGTCATAGAAGCGACGTATTTCGAATCAATATATCATTCGACGATTTGTATCTAAAAGAAAATAAAAAATACGTGTCTAATGTTTTAAAAATATCTACCAGTGGGACATTAGAATAAAAATTAGTCATCTACCGCTTTTTGAACTCTGGACTGCCTCATTGGCCGAGTGGTCGCAAGTGCGACTGTCGGGCAAGGGGTCTCGGGTTCGATACCCGGGTCGGGTAAAGTATTAGGTACTGGATTTTTTAAAAAGCTCAGTAGTAGCACGGAGATAGATTTAGATATATAAATATAGATAGATAATACATAGTGGTACAACATGGCATTACGTATAATAATCCTTGAAAGGGTGGACAGAGGTGTACGTAGGTAAGTACGCCGACTTTCTTAAAATAATACATAAAGACTATATATGTACTGAAAGGCTACTCAAATTTAAGTTATACTTAAATATCGTGCCGTCTCTGTCATTTTCCATAGAATGTATAGATTGTGTAGAGACAGAACTATACTTAAGCGCGACTTATTCGGGCGTAAACCAACTGAAAAATTGACTGAAAATTTCTAAATCGTAAAATTGTGTCCATAACAATTTTGGACATAGATATTATTATTAACTACTTCATTTCAGAAACTAATAACATAACATAGCTAACTAATAAACAATATCGTTTTGACTCCGAAAGAAGGAATAAAGGCGAAAATTTATTTGCAGGAAGTATTTTTACGTTGATGGATTACGGAAAAAGAACTCGCGTTCAATTCCCTAGTCAGAGAAAGTTTTAAAATTTTATATTTATCAAATTCACAGTCGATAATGCTTTTAAAAAGCCAAGTCACTTACTTCTTTTTAAGATACACGTGCTAATTTCAAGCACGAACACATGCTTCAATTGAGCAATTGTCACTTTTTTTTAAAGGGGGAAAATCGTCAGACTCTTACTGACTAAAAACCACCCCGTTCCTACTCCTGCACTTCGAGCCGGAGTCATGGTACCCCGTTAGGTTCTCTGCGACTCCGTATCGGCATCAGCCCCCATATTGGGTGGGCCCCATCCGTGAAGCAATTATTACTTAGTAGTCAAAATTAGCACGCTCTTTTCAGCAGCTGTAGCCAAACGCCATTTAGCACTTAGCACACACAGTCTACATGTAGAATAGAAAACCAAATTATATGGGATTGACGTAAATTTTGATACTTGTCAGTGTCATCCCCATACATTTTGATTTCTTCTCTCTCTGAAGACAAGCGCTAAAGTGGCGTTTGGCTAAAAGCCCAGGCATGCTTGCGAAACGACAGGCGTTCGATTTTTGAAAAGTTTTGAGAATTCTCAATAGAATACCTTTTAGCATTCTATTATAAAGCATGTAGCTGGCTACACATAAACTGAGTAGATTTGAATGAAAAGTATAAAAATTCATAATATCATCATAACATCACGCCTTTTATCCCCCAAGGCCCGAAGGCAGAGGTGCATTACGGCACTTAATGCCACTGTACAATGACTGCCTTATTGGCAGAGTGGTGAGTGGGACTGCCGGGCAAGGAGTCTCGGGTTCGATTCCCGGGTTCGGCAGAGTATTACTGGGTTTTTTAAAAGACTCAGTAGTAGCACAGAGTCTAGAAATGTGCCCGGTATATGGCAATTGGCTCACCCCCTATTACATGGGACTCATAACTTAAATAGTGAAAAGTGAGTGTTACAAGTATAAAAAAAGATTATTATAATCTTAAAAAGGTTAAATTTGTACCGGGGGCGGGCAAAGCCGCTGGCAAAAGCTATATACCTAACGTCCATAAATCCACTGCATACCTTTTAGGAAAACAGCGAGCGTGATACTATAACATATTACGTAATGTAGGTATACAAATGATATAAATGCATAATTCAAAATGGCAGCGTCCATACTGTGAAACTAAGTACACTCAATAACTCTTTATCTGGTGTGAACAGACAACCATATACAAAATTATAATTAACATACAGTGGTTATATTTTAAACCCCAGAACGCCAATTAAAATGAGTATTTAAATTACATTTTAACTAAATCGGGGTGCGCCAGAGACGGTTTATGTTCTTTATATGCAAATTAGGTTCAGTATGTCTTTAGAAGGGAATTATTACTTAGATATATGCTTTAAGAAGGGTACAAGAGAACCTTAATTATTATATAACGATGCGATTATTTGTATGTTTATTTGTGAGCTTAAGACATACTTGTTACGAACACATACGAAGATAGTTTTTTTTATTGGGACAAGCCCGCCACAACCTCCCAATACCGCTGCAACTCCTGTAAGCCAGGATCTACAGTAGAAACAACCATGAAAACACCGGAATACTGAAGTCCGACGCATCCCAGGGACATGAGTAACTGTCTTGGTTCCCACAACGAAGTGAATCAGAAGATATTACCTATAAGACGAGAAGAAGAAAAAACGATAGTCTCCACTTCCCTCGGTGAATTACTGCAGGCGACAGAATGAATTAAGCCTAATGGCAGTTAATCTAACTACATTACCTACTGCCGCGCATTTTACCCGCTGCTAAGTTCCTATTAATCGAAGCATGATGTTTTAGCTCATAACCTCTGAGCCAGCACAAACCTTTTGAGTAAGTCATAAAAGCTAATTGCTTTAAAAAATGCTGTAATTAGCTGATATAACGCTTACTTAGACGTTATTCAAGCAATTTAGGCACAAAATATACTGCTAATAGCTTGTATGACAAGCTGAGTACTGATTATCTTCTGCATAAAAGCTTTTAAGTGTGGGAGAGCCATGCTTCGACACGAATGGGCCGGTTCGACCGGAGTGGTACCACGGCCTCACAGAAAACCGACGTGAAGCAACGCTTGCGTTGTGTTTCGTTGTGTGAGTGAAGTTACCGGAGGCCCAATTACCCTCCCCTTCCCCAATCTCCTCAATCCCTGAATCCCCAACGATCCTCAAACTCCTAATTCCCAAAAGGCCGGTAACGCACTTGTAACGCCTCTGGTGCTCCAGGTGTCCACGGGCGACGCCAATTGCTTACCATCAGGTGATCCGTCTGCTCGTTTACCGGCTTATGCTATAAAAAAAGGTTTAGTTCATTAATACAAGTATTAAAGCTATGTTAGCCAGTTGATGAGTGAGTGATGAATAAACTATAATTGGTTAAGTTCTTTAGAGCTCAGTTATCAAATGTATCGCCTCACCCAGGGAGGAGAAGCCATTGAATAATTTTCCCCTGGTAAGAAAACGTAATTAATCACTGTTGCCTATTCTTTTACGAAATATTAGGCGTAATGATATATATAGGATTGTTAAAGCACTTAAAACATTTTATAGATCTAATAAAGCTAGATAATATTTAAATATCTACATGATACAAATAAATAATATTCATAGTACTTAACGTAACTTACATTATGATTATAATAAAAATACTTACCTTAAAAGCATTTAAAAGCTTTGCTTAGACTTAGGAAATACATATTCAAAAGAGATGAGATTTATTTATTAATTAACTAGTTGAACCGGCAAACGTCGTTTCGCCAAAAAAAAATGCTTACCTTTTAAACCATCCCTGAACTTCGACGAATATTTCAAGATCATAATTTGTGAAATCGGTTCAGTCGTTCTCGATATTTAGCGAGACTACCAAACGGAAATTCATTTTTATTTAAATAGATACTAGCGACCCGCCCCAGCATCACACGGG